CCCAGCGTCAGCATCCAATTTGATTTGATTTATTTTCCTCAAATAACAGAAAAATCTGTGTGATGTATGGGGAAGAATTGTAATTGTGTGGTACATCATCAAAGGCATTCTGGTGAGCCTGCTCAAACAAATATTACGGTTCAAGCCATGTCAAATTAGGTTCCTTTTTCTTACATCATTTAAGATGGCGTTTTTGAGTTAGATTAATTAAGATTTAGTTGCAGTCTCATAATTATAATATTATATTACAATTTTTTAAAATTAGACATACGAGTTTTACTAATTTTACTTTTGGAAACATTGTCGAACATACGAGTTTCCGAAATTGCACTGCCAAGACGCAGATGTTATTGACAGAATGAGACCGTGAAATTCGGATTTCTAGAATTTTTTCGATAAAATTTGTCATGTGATATGAAAAACGATAAAAATTGATCGTTGGTTTTGGACGAAGGTGATGATATGAAGGCTCAAGCACAGGGCATATTTCTGTGAAGAGTTCTTTCGGCCTGATAACAATTTTTTGGATAATGATAATTATTAAATTTGCAAATGTAGATAGTTTCCGGTTTTATATATGGTACGCCTATACTTGATCGGTACATCTTCACCGTTTATTAAATTAAGTGTAAATGGATAAGTGATAAGGCTGCAATTCATATATCTGTGTTTTATCGTAATTCACTTATTTTTTGGTAAGAGGTTTGTCGAAAGAACGAATATCGTGAGTAGTAGACACGAGATGCATCTGTGCCGGATTTAGTTTTTAACGCTCTCGAGAGACATGTCCTAGTTTAATATTCAAATAAGGTTATGGAAGCTTAGCGCCTCAGCATCGACCCGACTCGCCGAGAAATCCAGTCGGGAAACCCCATCTCTTTACGCAGAACAAACATTTTTAGGGGCTATAGAATGACTACACATGGCTAAACGTGCGCAAATTGGATGTCTCACCTAAATGCCAGAAACGGTTTTGACGTTCTGACGAAAATAAATAAAATCAAATAAATAAACACAGCGGGTCTTCTAATAATACTAAAATATTGCACATATGTAACCCAAACTCAAGTAATTTTTTTCAAAAATGCAACACTTCTTTGTAAGTATTCTTTAAATTCGTTATTTTTGTGTAGCGTTCATAATAATATCAACAATAGATTTTACGTAATAATGAACGAATATATTCTGGACGAACATTTTTGTTGAATTATTTCAGGCCGCCTATGCAGTGGGAACCCAAGGCACGTGCTTAAGCCGGTTATGTATTAATCCACCTCTGACTCTCTCATCCATCTCTTTCTCATTTTTGTACATAAAATACTCTGATGTTAAAGAATTTCCGTGGCCTTACGTATTTTGCTAATCGTTTTAGCACATTTAATTCACGTATTGGTAGTTAACTTACATTATTTCAGTCTGTACGATAAAAATTGACTAGTGTAATTCAAAACAAAGTGCACTGTAGAAGCGTATATTTAATAGCGTTTCCATTCGTTGCGATTAAACGCAACCCAGTGCAGAGCAATGAGGTCGTTGTGCTTATACTTTTGCTCCACAAGGGAACGATAAAAAACGCGCAGGAACGAATGGAACATATTCGAGAACTGAGTCGGTGCTCGAACTGGTGGCCGTGTACAATTAGATCACAGACATATAGGTACTGAAGTGTTGAGCTACTGCCCTGCACACTTGTTTAGTTCCGTTAAAAATTAATATAAGCATTTCCGCCTATATACGGGCTCGAATAAATGAAGTACTTCTTTGAAAACACTGGTCCCCGTTTGCCGAAAAGTCTGGCAAATTTGAGGTGGAAGAAGAAGAAGAAGAAGAAGAAGAAGGAGAAGAAGAAGAAGAAGAAGAAGAAGAAGAAGAAGAAGAAGAAGAAGAAGAAAAGAAGGAGAAAATGCATAACATTAAAAAAAAATATAAAATACAAGCTCATTTTCGCAACTTCGCACAACAGTCACATTTATTTTAAGACTTTTTTGTAATTCATTTTCCTTTCTTCATTTCATTCCTTTTCCAAAATGTCCGTGCTTGACAGAAGAGTCTAAATTGCCTCTTTCTCTTCTCTTTCTCCTTCAACTTCTTCTTTCTTCACAGGCTTCCTGACTATTATTCCAGAGCATCCCTCCGTCTCTTCATCGGCCTACTGGGTCTTCTTTTTTTGGAATGTTATTCCTTGCACTCTTCACAATCGTTTCTTCCGGCATGCGAGAAATATCTTCGTTCTATTTCGTTCTGCGACCTTCTAGCCATTCATTTGTTGTAACCTGCTCTCTCTCTATTTGGTTGTTTCTTGCATGTTCCATTCTCGTTCCCCTTTTTATTCGCCCCCCCCCCGTTCTATTTTTCTCAGTGTTTTTATCTATGTGGTCTGTTGTATTTGTCCTGACGTTGCGTTTCCAGCCTAGATTTTGCAGCGAAGTATTCGGCATTTAGATATTTGTAAATTCTTACTTTTGGTTCAAGGTGTATATACGTATTCCTCCATGGTGCGTCAACTGCTATGGTCATTAGAACCGTAAGGATAGTGCATATTTTTATCATGGGATATGGCGGTAATCTCATGCTTGGTGCTGAGATCCGGGGCCGACCTTCACGTCGGCTTGGGTCATTATCTCCGACCAAGTATCTCTCACCAGACGGCCACCGCCCCAGCCGGAACAAGTTCATAGCTCCAGACTGGTCTCCCGACATATGGGGTTGTGTAGTGCATGTAAGTGTAAGTATATGTAAGTAAGGTGCGAGGATAGGAAAAGGAAGACGAAGGAAAGATTGTGCGCGGTCCATGGCCGGTTTATTAGCGTACTGCTCCGACATTCTCCTAGTGTTGATCGAAGAAACCTCAAAAAATTACCGATAAAGGCAGCCTACTAGACCGACCTGACTTCTCCAAACATGGGCTGAATTTGATCTGTGTAGCAAGTTTCGAAAATCCTACCTCCGTCGGGACTCGAACCCTAGACTAGAACCTTTCTGGCGAAAGGCATTTCTGTGACATCACTTGATGCTCTTATGTCACCTAACCCGGTGATGCTGTTCGATGTGTTTGATCAATAGACCTGAATGTGGTACCTGAGAACCTCAGTACTGAAAACACTCTCCTTGACCGATCATATTCTTTTCAGCACTTATTCATGGAAACTAGTAATTACCTTCTCTGATTATTAATTGGAAAGCATTTCTTTACGGTATGCATACCGAAAAGAAGTCATAGCAATAAAAACAATCGCGTACATATGCAAGATAAACGAGATACTGGGAAGACATGAATCAACATGGCCGCTGCCTCACATATTGAGAATGATCCTAAGAGTTTATTCTTGTAGTTTGTCATGAATCCGAGGGAGGAAAAAAAACACGAAAAAGTAAGCAACTCGTGTGGAAGTGACTTTGGCCTACTAATTTCCAAATGCCATCAATTCATTCGCCGCATTCATTTGGAAGACAAAGAGGACATTTTGATACAAGAACGTCTCAGTCGCAAAATTGCGAAGATAATATAACAAATTTTGCCACGTCAAAACAGTTGAAAGCAAGCATCCTGATACCAATTTTCATGAAAACAAACAAACAAACAAACACCTGAAAATTACCGAGGAACAAATCTGCTTGGCACAATTCTCAAATTAACTACTAATGAAATCCACAACAAATTAACAGAATTAATTCACGTCAGTAATAATCATCAGAGTTTTAAAATTAGACGATGATGCATTGATTATATTTTTACTTTCTCATATTACTACGTTTACTTCGTAAAGAGAGTATTGTTATATTGCGCCGGAAATGGTGATTATTCGATAGAAAATTCGAATTGTCAAGCCCTGGTAACGGAAAACTGGATAAATCATGTTTCTATGTCTAGTAATTTACGATCTCCAACATGTTGGGTGGTCAGAATCCACTTTTTAAAATGGCCTTACGTCTGTCCGTCTGTATGTCTATCTGGCTGTGGTCAACGCTAGCACCTAAACCGTTCAGACGACCTTCTCCAAAATTAATATCCCCTGATCGATCTGTACGAACTCGAGACCCTGTGAGTTTAAGACATTTTGATTTTGGGGAGCACCTTACATGAATCCTCAACATTTTCAAAATGTTCTCAAAAATGTTTGATTATGCCTAAACTTTGCCCTCGGATAGTGCAAAGGATTATTTAAAAATTGCGCAGGTCTCAATTTCGTTGAAATCTCTGATTTTTTTTAATTGCAAAAGTTAGAAATAATGCGAGAAAATATGTGCTGTTTAAGCACCACTAGTTTCTTTTTAGAAAGAAAACTTTTGCGGTTTGTAATGAAATCCACCTTTTCTATAGATAGAAAGGCTATCTCAATTGATCTACCTCATCTACCGACCTAGTATTTCACCAGCTGAGTTGCTCAGGACACCAACTGATGCCACTAGTGTCTGGAACCGGAAGATCCTAGAGTGCGAGTTCCAATGGTAGTGGATTTTCGACCCCCCAGATAGCTAGGTCGAATTCAGCCGCTGTCTGGAGTAGGATTTCTTGCAGCCAGCTGCTCTGATCAGTATTTTCCGTGGTTTCTCCGATTAATACGGTGCCAGTCGATGCTGGAGCAGTAACGTGACAAACGGGCCACGGAATCGGGCGCGCTATCTTTCCTTCCTCATCCTTGTCCCCTACTTTCCTCTCTCCATACATACATATATACATACCACATACATGCATACATGCACGCATACATACATACATACATACACACTTCATTTACATTCACTACACTACCACATATAATTATTAAGCACCGTCCCAGTCGGGAGCTTGGAGCGTGAGCCGACTGGGACTGTGCTCCATTCCTGGAGAAGGGAAAACCTCGGAAGCAACGTGTAAGTAGGCGCTGATTCTTATGTTTTGACGGGAGAGAAATACTGCAACCTAAGGCGATAAATCATGCACTACACTTACGAGACAAAGACCACCTCTGTTGCCGTGCCCTGAAACACAAAATAATATAAGCTTCTCATGCTTGCAGGACTGGAATGTGTTTGTGAATGTAAAAGAAATCATTATTCTTGTGCCCTCTCTGTTGGGCCTTAAAGGCAATTTGGAAATGACTTTGGCTGCTCGATTGTCCACTGAGGCCAATTTAGGTCACATGGATGATGCTAAGGAGCAATGGAGCATGATATTAGGAAATTTAACTTTAGTTCAGGTGAGTATTTTTTTGATATATTAGTAGAACGTTGCCTTCTTACAAAAATTAAATATACATATATTTCTCTTTGCAGTGTCAAGCCATAGTTGTTGGTCTGTTGTCAGCTGTAGTTGCTCTAGCTATGGTTTATATATTAGAGAAAGAAGAATTTAACATAAGGCATACTATGCTTCTGTGTTCTTGTAGTATTATAACTTCTTCCATAGCAAGCCTTGTTCTAGGTAAGAAAATCACTGATTTTGTAGCCATCAAATAAATATTTTATGGAATCATCAAATAAATATTTTCAATAATACCTCAAATTGTGTCATAAAATTTGACAGCACATTTTAAGAAGCAACAAGTACGAAAATGACTTCTCTCAATTTCTCTAGTTTTGGAAAATGATTTCAATTTTTTTTAGAGCAACTTATTCTCATAAATGAGTTTCTTTTTATGCCTGAGAAACTATATAAATTAAGATATTTTTTGAGAAAACATGTTTTAATATTTTTGTTAATTACATTGAAATGAATAGAACATCTGTAGCATCAAGGTTATTACTTAAAATTTCAAGCTTCAGACAGCAGACCATGGTTAGGTGTGATCAAATGATGTACAATGTTCAGAAAATGTTTGTACAAACAAATAGAATTAGAGTTACTAATTGATAACTTAAAAGCATTTTAAAGCTTTTCTTCTCCAACAAACTTTGATATTTAAATACAACACAGACAACATAATTCCATTAGAAAACTTTATGCAGATATTTTGCAAGAAAAATAATATTTATAATCATTATATTCTGCAAACAATATAATAATAACTATATTTGTACAAATTAAATAATGCCTCCTATTATTTAAATTTTGAGGAGAAGAATTCATCATTATTCAGAAGCCTAACTTCAAAAAAATATATAATTACAATTAATTCTTCATCATGTAGTTATATCCTTTTTGGTGTGTATAACTATTTTCTGAACATTGTAGATTTTTATAAAAATAATGGTAATAAATTTAGCTGTATTACTGTCATCTAATATTACTTAGATTTTAACAGATTCAATTAGTGCTAGAAATAATATCCCTCAATAATGAAGCACTGCTACAGGAAACAGCGAACTAAAGGTTCAGCACCATTTATTTCCAACTTGCTCTCTGCAGCTTGAAAGGTGTGGGAGTAATAGCCATTCAGAAAGAAGTTTTGAGCACCTCTGACTGAATTTTATAATATGGCTTCAAATTAAATTAATTAGTGGGCCTGCTAAGTCAGTTTTCTTTTACAGTGAAACTTTAACATAATGATTAGCAATATATTTTGTATATATACGCTGTCATTCTTTAACAGCTGGGTTCTAATGTGCAGCATTTTGAAATTTCATTTTCCATCTCTTTCATATGTTTCAGAAAAAATGGAGCTGGTTTCCAATTTTTATTATTCTTTTTTAATATAGTAATTTGATTATATTTTTTGTTATAGGAAGAAAAACTAATCTAAACATATGCAAATATATTAAAAAAACATTTAGAGTATTCTCTCAATGTTCATAAATTTCAAAAATCAACTACTACCAGTCAGTTCTTGTTCTCACCAATCTAAAACAATTCAAATTTTCTATTTTTCTACTACATATTGATCAAATTTATATCTTGTTACCTTAAAAATGTATCTCCCAAACTTCAGTAGCTTTCTATTTATAAATTACTGAAATGTGTGTTGCAAAATGTTTCTTCTAAAAGGCAATTAATATTATAATGAAATTTGAATATCAAATCAATATTTTCAAATAAAAATTTAAAGAATTTGTAAATAACTGATAATAAGAAGTGATGGAAATAAAAGATAAGCATTTAATCTTTGGCCTTCAAAAATATTTTTTGAGATTTTTAACTGAAAATGATTTTAAAAAATTGAACTTTAAGTATTGCATATTATTTGTTTGTTTGTAAATGCTGTAATTGAATTACAAACCCAGCTTATGATGAGATCATAATTAAGAATTTTGCAATGTGAAGATGAAACTTTTAATTCAATTGTTATGGTCTCACTTGCAATGGATCGTTTTTATGACCTTACAGGCCTCATCACTGCTACTGTGATAGTTGTATCACGTTGGTTGAAAATTAACCCAGATAATGTTGCAACTCCCATTGCTGCAAGCTTAGGAGATATTACCTCCCTTGCTTTACTTTCCTGGGTAGCAACCATGTTGTATGATGCAATTGGTAAGATTTTATAGGATGCATAAATAAGCTACGTGATCCTTTAAGAATAATAGGAATTCATAATATGATACAAACACAATCTTTTGATACTTTCAGATAAGTCTTACTGGATATCACCAGTTGTCATAATTTGCTACATTCTGGTTATTCCTTTTTGGGTGTGGATTGCAAAGAAGAACAAGTACACAAGCTCCGTCCTGTATTCAGGCTGGACTCCTGTAGTAGTTGCTATGCTGATCAGCACGTATGTCGCACTCAGCAATATCATTTAGTGATTCAAAAGCCAACATCAATACTTAAAATTACTGCCAAAGCTATCTCTATGAATTCCACGAGATCAGCTTTACAAATAAGAGATTTCCACAAGTTTATAAAAAAGACCTCAAAATGCATTATTTATGTACTCCAATATAGTTAAAAATATAAGTCCAAAAATTACCCCATCTATGTGAGTATAAACATTACAAAGAGGGAATCATGCAACATATCTAATAATAAACTTGATAAGCAAACCAAAATCCGAACTTTTCCAAATTTTAATGAGGGGGAAATCTCATTACTTCAGATGGGTGTGCTGGTGACCAATTTTTCTACACCCAAATGCCTGAACATGAAAAATGTTTACACAATATTTTGAAAATAAACTTTCACTTTCATTTACAATGTAAATTAATTTAAAGGTCTGGTGGTCTCATGCTGCACAAGTTGCTATCTCGTTACCCACAAATGGCTGCCTTGCAACCAGTCATTAATGGAGTTGGTGGTAACCTTGTATCAGTACAAGCAAGTCGTTTGTCCACTGAGTTACATCAACATAGTGAACCGGGAACACTTCCACCTGGTTCACAAATTTGTATCACTCCAAGCCAGGCATGCTGTTCAAGACGTAAGTTTTGTTATTTCCAGCTTCCATACTTAACACTTGCATTATGGAATTCTTGAACCACTCAAATACAATCTAATCCACTTGATAGATAAGGATACTAAATCCTAAATTAATAGTTTCTGATCCCCAAAGATAACTTTGTTCATAACATAATCTTATATTTTCAGAACCTCATGCAATGACAGCTCAAGTATTAATGCTACTTGTCATACCTGGACATCTTTTGTTCATCTCCATTATATCTTCAAAATATTTGCAACCTGATGCTCTAGATCTTACCCCATTGTTTGTTGTCACTTATCTGTTCGTAGCATTTTTTCAGGTAATTCCAGTTTAATCAGTATTAGTACAATTTCATGTCCATTGATAACTATTTTACATTGAATTATACCAATAACAAGATTACACTTTAAGAATAGTTGTATGGTGAAGGAAACTGAAGAAAAGAATCAAATCATATATGCAAACAATATGGTTTGGTTCTTCTGATTTGTTAGCTTTTGTTAAATGTAACTTTTAAATTCACATTTTAATTTTTGATACATTTTAAAATGTTTATGCTTTTTTAAGACAAAAAATGTCACTGTATTGTGAATTACTCCAACTATTCACCATCATCGTCATCATAATCGTAATAATGATTGCACCTGAAGTACTCCTACAGTAGTAATACAATAATAATATGTTAGTCAATCTAGTCTATATTGCCATAACAATATATTAGTCCAATATTGTCTAATATTAATTCATTATGTTGATATTTTTTATAAAAGATATCCAAGTTTTCAATGGCCAATGTGTCTGGCCAATTCAGTAATTATTATATTTTGTTTACATTAAAGAAATAATAAATAGTTCTGCTGAAAGTACTAAAATTCTTCATTCCTAATTTTTACATATTTTTTGCCCAATTTTTACCTCCTGTACTAAGTAGTACTGTGAGGCAAAACAACATGGCTTTTAGAAACAAAATTTTTTACTATCATAATTCTAATTTCTTTTGGCAAAATCATACTAACTATAAAAAGTTTTCTTTATGGACTGATAATGTTGAAGCATGTTAAAAAAGCAGTATTTTCAAAGTAGTCAAGAAACATATTTGCACATCATCAATTTATATTCGCATATTTACCTATATAAAATTATAAATTGTTATTTCAGGTTGCTATTCTTCTCTATGTGGCATATATTTTGACTTATTTCTTTTGGAAACGGCACACTGATCCTGATAATTCAACAATACCTTATCTCACTGCTCTTGGAGATCTGTTAGGGATTGGCCTTCTGGGCATTAGTTTTGAGTTCCTCTCCTGGGTGGGAGATGATTACGCAATTGCTCCTGAAGTTCCTGGAGGTATTTTCAAAGAAAAATTGTAAACTATCAATACAAAATACATTGAATATATTTGTTTTTTTCATGATATGTTGATTTTTATTTTCAAGCTGTTACTACACTCCCTCCTTGATGGGCTCCAGCTCAATGCCTACAATTTTGCCTAGTGTGAACATGTGAAAAGGACCACATGTACAAAAGTGTAATAGAAAAAAAAGGTAAAACATTTTTAAAATTTTGCCTTTTAAAATTTCCAGTGACAGCGAGGAGTCGCAATTTCAATAGTTCCAAATATATGTTAATAAAATATTCCTGAATCACTTCTTCATCACAGTACAACCCAATTAGTCTGTCTATTTAGGATGACTAAGAATAAATGCTACAAACATTAATGACATGTACACAGGTAAAAAATAATCACCTTTTGCCAATGAACAACATATAGTGCAAAATTGCATTAATTGGAGTAGTAAGCATTTATACATTGGCATTTGTCCCTGATTGTTACGTAACCCTGAATGCACGCATTTCGGAATGTACATGAAGTCTTCTTGAAAACATTAGAATGTGTCATGCCAATCATCTTTGCATAAGGAGTTGCCTAAGAATCACGGGAGAATACCGCATAAATAACTTCATTATGAGAAATTTCCCACTAAAAACCACTGGCAAAAAGTAATTGTTTTTGCCCTTCTACAGGCCCTCGATGTTTGTAACATTTATTCTGAGACATCCTGCATTGCTGAAAAGAGTGATCTATTGTAAAGTTTTAGGTCATTTAGCTTCCTAGAAATAATATTCTCAAAACTTGATTATCAAAAATTATTATTAATAAAACTCGAGATACTTGATTATAAAAAAAAAAATCTTATGAACTCAATACTCTCAACTTCTTTTGGTTTGTGATGTAAAGTGAATTAAAATATGTCAGTAATCATCATCATCATATACTGTAGGTTGCTATGCATATCACCTGTTTCTGTTTCTCAGAAGAGCTGGTGGGTTTTTGGTCCTGCAAGTGTTCCTGATCTGGTGTGGTTCCATTTCTGGCGTAGTCTCCCTACATCTCTTTGCTCTAACGGTTAATACTTTAATGCTGTCTTTGGGAATCTGTCTTGTTTACTCTGTTGATGTGAGAAAAATATTTCTTCTGACCTTCCTTTATTTTTTCTACTACATTCTTTGTGTTCAGCCTTTTTCTAAATTTACTCATTTACTTATCCTTTAGTGGGTCTCCTGCAAAATAGTGTAGAAATCTCATCTGTGTGGTGTCCAGTCTTAGCCAATTACTATTTCCTTTGTCCAAATTTCTGATTCATACATGAGTATTGGTTTTGAAATCATATTATGCACTCTTAGTTTAATCTCACAACCTTTCCAAAATGTTATTTGATTAGTCCATTTATTCTGTTGCATTTCTGAATTTTATTTACTATGTCCTCTGATCTGTATTTGTTCTATTATTAGCCCATTAATGACAATTTTGACTCTCCTCATTTTTCTTGATATGCCATTGATTTTGTCAAACTCATGCAAATTTTTGTGTTATGTTTCAGTGCTTACTGCAATTTGTAGGTCATCTTCTCATTCCATTATTATAAGTACATCATCTGTGTAAAGGATTGTTTGGATCTCCTGTCTTTTTCTGAGATTCCCTCTTGATTATAGTTTCCATTCCTTGATGATATGGTTGGCATATCAGTCATATTGAATGGCAACAAGCATGGTGACAGACTGCATCTGTCTTAATCTTCTGTTTGTTGTGAAAGATTTTGACATATTTCCATAATTTATTTTTATACTCATCTGCATAGAAACATTGAATTCCTTTTCTTGTTTCTGTAGGTACCTCTTCTTCTTTCAGCATCTCCCATCTTAATTCTCTATTTACTCTATCATATGTCTTTTCAAGGTCTATGAACAATAAGTAAGTTGTCAAATTCACTTCTTTGCGTCTGTCCAGGGTTGTTTGTTATGTGAGTATAGTGTATTTTGCTCCTTCCTTTTCTGAATCCATTTTGTTCCTCTCCCTAAATGGCTCTATATTCACTCAGTCTGTTTCTTAATTCACTCAGTCAGTTAATGTATTGGAAATGACTTTTTATGCTGTTGATAGAAGCATTAGGCGTATTCCCCTAGAGTTATTACAGTCTGTTTTCAATCATTTCTTATGTAAATTTATTATCATGTCAGTCTGCTATTCTATCAAGGTTGTGTATTCACCCCAAACTTTGTCGAGCAATTCTACCGTGATGACTTCAAGTTCTTTACATCCATATTTCATTAGTTCCAAGGTAATTCTATCTACTCCCGAACTTTTCCTGTTCTTAGCTTTTCTAAGTACTTTTTCAAGCTCTTCTTTTGATATCTGTGGCACTATTTCTTGTTCTTCAATATTTGTGTTGTCCATCCTTATGTCCTTTCATGTTGTCTACGTGCCATAATGTCTTAGGAATGAGATCTGTGTAAATATTGCCCTTGTGTCAGCTCTAAGCAATCTTATGATTTTAAAGTCACCCTTCAGAGGCCTTTGTTGTCCCTCTCCAGCAATTTCAGAAATATTCCATCATCATCATGAACTGAAGGTGTTTAAGCTTAACAGCTTGTTCCATTATTTATGCAGTATTCCTGGTAGTTAATCTTCCAGGCGTCCCTGCTGTTACCACTTCTTTCGTGGTCTTCCCAAAATCCCTGCTGGCTTTTATTTCCATATTAATTTTGGCCATCTGTTATTGTTCATTTTTTATGGTGGTCTTGCCATTTTCTTTGAGAGTTTTCTATTTCCTCTACTAAGTCTTTAGTTTCTTTCTAATGTCTCTGCTTCTCAGTCTGTCCTTGCAACTCCTACAAGGTGTCTTAGAAATCTCATATGTGCTGCTTGTATTTTTTGTTTGTCTCTCTTTCAATATCCATGTCTCAGAGCCGTACATAGCTATAGGTTTAGCCATTACATTCTGAATTTTTTGTTTTGTTTTGAATCCATGTCTCTGTCAAAGTGTTGTTTAATTGTTCCACAGATTCTGTTGTATTTATGCAATTTATTTTCTAAATCCTCCTGCGTGTGATTAAATTCACTTATGATATTTCCAAGACATGAACATTTGTTGACTTGTTCCACTGTTTCTCCATTTATTACAGTTTGGGCTCCCTTCTGTTCTTTGCCTTGCAGTGCCATAACTTTTGTCTTTTTAACTGATATATTCATAGAATGTTTGTGGGCCTCTTTTGTCAGTTCAAAAATTACTCTGTGTAGAACATCTTCAGAATCCGTAATGATTGATTGTCAGCATATAAGATTGCATCTATCTTTTTGTCTTTCTTCATTTGAATACTCTGTTTAATTTTCTTCCTCCAATTTCTCACTAGGTGGTTGATATTTATGTTGAAGAGTGTAGGCAACAGACCACATCCCTGTCTTAGGCCATTGGTTGTTATTGTTGCAGACTTTCTCTCATCTCTTAACAATATTTTAATGTTGGAATTTTTATATAAACTCTGGATCACATTCAGTAATTGATTTAGAATTTTCTCCTCTTTCAGTATTTCCCAGAATTCCTGTCTGTTTACTCTGTCGCATGCCATTCCATAATCTATGAATATTATAAAAGTTGGTAAGTTTCTGTCTCGTCTTTTGTCTATTATCATCTGTAATGCGAAAATGGCATCTTTAATGCTCCTTCCCTTTTGGAACCCACACTGTTCTTCTCCCATAAAACACTCAGGTATTACATTGAATCTGTTTCTCAACATATTTGCATAAAGTTTTGATGCTGTTGATAATATTGTGATGCCCCTATAGTTGCCACAGCTCTTCCTTTTTGTGAATCTTAATGACCAAACCATCTTGCCATTTTATAGGTGTTTTCCTCTCTAGCCATACTTCATTAAAAAGTTTTAGTAATGTTTCTTTTAGTTCATTTTCTCCATATTTTATAAGTTCTAGGTTGATTTCATCTGATCCAGGGCTCTCTCTTTTAGATATCTGACAACCTTAAAGATTTCCTTGTTTAAATCAACTATAATAATGATTCAGAAATATTTTATTAACATTCACTTAAATGTCCATACATAGATAGCTTAGCTCTCATTGTTTTTACAGCTTATTTCAATTGTTAATATTGCTTCCATATTCACTTTCATTATTTCATTTACTGATGATGTAGCTCAACCACCTCATCCTCTAACAGATTGTTCCTGATGGATAATTCTTCCCAGAGAAAATAAAAAAACAAAAACAAAAAAATCTATTTCATTGGGTGAGTTCACTGACTACAGCTGTTAGAATAACATTAAACTTTTATCTTTTTATAAAATTTCAAACAAGCATAAATTTCCTGTGAATTTTTTTGTTTGGATTTCATGATTTGTTTTTCAGCTTATTACATCACAACACAGTGAACAAATGATTACATTTCAAATTATATGTTCTTTTTTTTATTTTGAATTTCTTGCATTGTACTGAATTCCCACTGAAGCTTTAGAATATCGAGACAAATAAAAAGCAAATAACATGAAGATATATTGCAGCACCACACGTAATTTGACACTGCATTTTTTTGTTTTCCAGCACCAGCACCCTGAGCATATGCTTGTTTTTAGTATATGTAGTATCTTCAGTGACACATTTCAGTTTTTCATAATTGAATCTCTTCGGCCAACTAGTCAATACTATTAGTATTTAGGAGGTTTAATTTACAAAAAAATTCAACTAAACCCAACTTCTACATTTATTAATTTGCAACTCAATGAAGATAAATTGAGTTGTCTGTTTCATCTTACTCCCCCTCTCCAATTACCTCTCTAGTAGCTTTCACCCATTACTTAACTTTCAACTCATTTTGACTAGTAAATAAAACACTTTGAAGTTGTTCTTTATCTCCAAACATAGGTTTCATTCTGTTATATGTGTAAATATTTGCATTGGTACCTTTGAGCTAATCATCTTGAAATTATAACAGAATTTCTCATAAAATTTGTGTTGTCATTTAACACAATTTAGCTTTTTACACACAGACTTTCTAAGAATAAACATCTGTTGCTTCAGTATGGTAATTATATCAAGTAATCTCTCTATGAGATATACTGCCAAGAAATTAATATTCTCTTTCACGTGCATTGGGTTTATTTTACAAGCAAATCCAAGTATCGTTGTGTATTACTAACAGAAATGGACAGAAGTGAGGGACAAGACAGGAGAAACAATATATTTATTAGTAATGATCTCTAGGCATTTTATTTTGATATGTTTTAGAAGATACACTCATAAAATATTTTATTAAAAAAATAGGACCTAAGTTTAGGACAATAACAGAATGCAGGCAAAGAAAAATCAGTCAAATATTATAAATGGTCATTAATTTTTTTGTTCTAGCCTTCATCTGAATAAAACAAGACTAAAGAGAAAGGCAGTTCTCCAAATTCATTGGCACAGCAGGAAAAGAAGACTTTCATCGAACATATTTGCAATGTGAAGTGGTGTATCTTTGTTTCCTGTTTCTTGTCAATAGCTCATTAAATTTGCCTCTTAATTTGTCTTTGTTGACAAATGTGCCTCATTGTGTCAGTGACATAATAGAATTTGTTTCTCTCCTTCGTTTAAAGAAAATTTACTCCATCTTCATAAAACATAAATCAATCATAAATTTGTAGCTTTTCAAAAAATCATATAAATGCTACTTAATAATAATTTCATGAGGAAGAAGCACAAAATTTGTAGTCATTAATATTGCATTCATAGATTGTATTAACTGTTCATATAATAATTATTTACTATGAACAGATCTTTGAATGAAAACTTGCTGTTACTGCATAAGTTAACAGAAATTCTCATTCATTGAAAATAGAGATGCAGCCTTAAATAAAATGTTGTCCCTTGTTATACATGTGAAAGATTTTAAATGTCACCAGAGTGTTTTATTTTCTTCTGTATATCTATGAATAATAAAATGTTGAAAATTAAACATTGTATTATTTTCTGTCAAACCTACTTTATCAAACTTTCATTCATTGATTAGTATTTTCATAATAAAAAATTGCTGGACATCAGATAACTGCGACATGTGTAAACTGGCTCCTTGGGCTTCATGAATCTACCATAAAATTTTTCTTATTGAATCATGAGGAATCATCAAAAATATCACAATAAAATCATGTTTTCTTTCATTTAACTCATTTTTATTATTTATTCAGGAACATAATTTCCACTAAATTATGCTATTATATTGGGTCCAGCACGAAGAACTTTACTTTTAATGTCTGTAGCACATGTGCGATGATTGAGAACCAGTAGTTGAGATATTTGGACTAGCAATGACTGAAATCTACTTTTCAGTTTCCAAAAGTTGTATGAAAGCAGATTAAAAATTTGCATGAGTCCTCTGCAATATTTTATCTTCTGTTGCTTACAAGAATTAAGTGATTCAGCCTGTTCTGGTTCTCAAGAGGCAGGACTTTCCTTGTAATGCACATGTATATGTGCAGTTATGTACACCAACTCCCAAGTCAACGTTAAAGCCCAATGCATTAAAACAGATTCAAAACACTAAAAAATATGAATTAACATACAGTTATAAAAATAATCTTTTGAAATTATTAAGTAATGATTCCTCACTTGTAAGTAACATTGACCTAGTTTCTGGTTTGCCAGGACCTTGGTTTGAGACCAAAACTTCACAAGAGACAGAATTGGAGTTGATTCTAGATTAAAGCATTTTATAGTTTTTGTTTCAGTAAATGTCAAGCCAGTGAATTCCTGATCACACAAATTAAGTGGACTGGTAGGAATGATAAAATGGAAGTGTATTCAGCTCCTGAACTCTAAGCACACCCAAATTCAATACCATTCACAAACAGATATATTTCACATATTATTTCTGTAGTATCAGTCATCCAATTTCAGAGATAATTTTAAAAACAGGTTTCCGATGTCAAGCAAGGGTCATTCATTTATTTTCAAAACGCTATCAGTAATAGTTGTCCAGTAAATCCAAAAACAATTGAAAAGTGATTACAGTTCGCGTCATGAAAATGCAAGCTTGAAGGTCATCTCCGCATCGCCCCTTTCCCAACGCCCCTCATCCTGCGGTGTTGCTGAGGGAGAGACTCCGCATGACAGCGGTCGCTCGAGATATGAGACCGGGAGAGGTGACTCAAGCATGAACTAGCTTGTTAGCTAGGTCGAATTCAGTCGCTGTCGGGAGGGGGAGAATTCTAGCGACCAATTGTTCAGATCGGTATTTTCCGTGGTTTCTCCGATCAACACCAGGCGAATGCCGGAGCAGTACCCTAACAAACGGGCCACGAACCGCGCGCGATCTTTCCTTCCGCTTTCTTGTCTTATCATCACCCCTTACTTACACATGCACTACACTACAATGCATGTCGGAGACTGATCAGGAGTGTAGAGCTTGTTCCGGCTGGAGTGGTACCTCGCTGTTGGGAAATACCTGGTAGAAGGAAAACCCCTCTAGCCGGCGGTAGATCGCTGCCGGATCACGCCATCCAGCGGGGGAAGTTTACCACCACCACCACCACCATCATCATCATCATCATCGGAGGAGGAGGGGGAGGGGAACATGTGCTATATTTAAGGGACTGGTGCGATGTCAGAGGGTCAGATACGATGTCAATTCTGCCCATCCTCTGCATCCTGTGTCGAGTTGAATGTGAGTTGTTTGAACAATAATATGCAATATATACAATTACAATCGTGTATGACGAGTCATTATGATGTCTTGGGTGGAGAGAGCGAAGTTACATTCCTGTTCTGGAGCAAACAAGGGGCCATCTCAGCATTTGCTCAAGGGACCAGGGACACTGAACAAAATCTGATCGAGATGGGATACATAAGGACGAATTACCCTTTGTCGTAATAAGTGAAACGTGCCTTAACCGATCGTCAATGGTTCCAGCACAAATTGGTCATTAATAGAGTTGGCCGCTTAATCCAATTTATGAAGTTAAGAATAAGAGTAAATTAGATTTTATTTTGTTAATTGATATGAAACAAAATGACGTAGAACCAAACAAATACTTTATTTCTTTTCTACACATCACAACGTTTTTAATGAAGTTCATAACTACTTCCTAAAATACAAATTATTGTTAAGAAAATAAATAAGGCTAAAATCATGAAGGATATGAAGATATTTTGAACTCAAATAACAACAAAATAAAAGCAATGTGGAATACACTAAAAGTACGACCACATCAACTAGAAACCTTAAAGAGTAGGCCTATGTTTTTTGTGTTGTTTTATAAGATAATGATAAGTCATGGCTGGTGCCCCAACAAATTTAGGGTTGCAGCTCCATCGAACGCAAATGTAATTTCCAAAATTCAGAACATTAATATACAATAAACTGTAAGAAATTCATTTAAATTAATAAAACCCAAGTACAATATAAGTCTATATTCAAATACTACTTACACAATTTTATACGTAATATCCGTGTCAGAAACGTTCACTTCCGTGCACATGGTTCTGGCTTTGATTTCCAGGGGTCACTTAAGTTTTTGTTTTAGTTCTTCATTGAGACAGTTACCGGTTATAGAATTCATACAAATAAAAACGAACTTAGTTTCGAAAACGCGGTGATCGCTTTCCAGCACTTGGCAACAAGCACTACTGTTTGGACACGTTTTACACTAGTTCATTTCATAGTTTAGATGTGTTGGGGAATGTGAACGAGGCGCGAGCAGAGGGGCAGCACGCTACAAGGCTTGCACTTCTGGAAGACAGTCACCGAAAAAAAAAAAAAAAAAAAAAAAAAAAAAAAAAAAAAAAAAAAAAAAAGCGAGCGAGCGAGGGCGAAGCGAGACTTACGCATAACATCGCCTCTAGAATGGGGGCTGCCAGCGCTGGAGAGAAGGGGAGACGATTCGAGAAGTGAGGTAGCGCTGTTGTACGTGCCTTGTTGAGTGACGTCGTTAATGCCATTATAGTTATGCCGCTGGACTTTCTATTGGAGACTGTGATTTTGGGTACAACTTAGGGCTTCCTCTGGTGAACGAATTCTGTGGCACGAAGTGGTACGAGTTTGGATAGTGGAAAATTGTATCTTTTGCAACAATAAAACTACATTTGTATGGGCCCCGTTTTTGTGTGTTCTTCAAATAATCATAGTTGTTATTGGTGCTTCTCGTGGCGATGATAAGGAAATAAAATTATTCGTTTTGAAAATTTCATTACCCTGGTGTGTATCGCAAAAATGAAAGATACACTCGTATTCACAACGATGCTCGAACAATAAATGCAGGTGCTGCTGGAAACTTTATTGCGCACCGTGTTCAGAAGAGTACAGAACGTCCAAACTTTAAACGAAGAACTCGTCAAATGTACATTTTGAATAAACAAACCTAATACCAAATGAAAATAAATTGCCCAAACATAAATAATGCATTCAACGCCGTCAAGAATTATGGGTGATCTAAATAACACTCGAAATTCATTAAATTAAGTTGCAGCGACTTTCAGAGGAAGACAGAAAACTGGTATTAAGGGCGTAACACTCTACTGTCAGACCCCGCATCTTTCGCTTTGCGTGCTCTGCGCTGTTAACCGATAGCTCGTTGCGGCGCGAAAACAACTGGGCCCCCATGTTAAAGCACAGTAATGCGTGGCCAAAGAATAAAAGCCGTAAAAGACCTAAGAGCGTGACATGGTGCACTGCCTGATAAGTGCACAAGGTGCCGGAGAGAGAGCTTGACAAGCCCTTTTTCCTTTCGAAATGATTTCATATACATCGATATTGCTTCAATATCTTGAATATTTAATGTTATTAAATGGAAAATGTATATTCCTAACATAAGATTTTTTCAATTATTTGAGAATAGTGCAACCGTGTAACTTAAGCACAAGCCGCCACTGTTTTAGCTATCCAGTTTCTTATCTTCATTATCTTAAGATCATTTATTACATATTTCCATCTTGCTTCTGGCCTTCCCTTTGCCCTAGTTGCTATGGCACTATTCTAACACTATATTTACCAACCTACATTTTTCATTCAATAGACAAGTTCGAACCAGCTTAATCTTAAAACTCTAATAATGTTAATATAGGTTTGTGTTTAAATATATTACCCAGCTCCGCACTCTATTTTATTTTTTTAATACCATTTGATAGTTTAAGTGGGCCAAAAATCCTTCTCAAAAGTTTTATGATTCTATTATTATCATTCTAAACAGAAACGTTGTCAGAGGATCACATAGTTTCACTCCTATTGTTACTACTTACTACTAAATCGCTTGTTAGATCATTTTCTTTTATTCTTGCTTTAGTATTAGATTACGTGAGAATGATGAATCTTGATTTATTTTGGATATCTTATCTGTAATTTTTACAGATTTGGCCAACATGGGTTTAGAAAATCAAAATCTACAGAAAGAGCCATATTTACTTTTCTTAAAGATGTACTTCAGCGATGGATCAAATTAAACAACCCGTTGGAATATTTTCTGAACTTTTAAAATCATTTGATGTCAATGATTACAATATTTTTCTTTCATAATCACATTCGTTTTAATTTCGTGGTATTGCTCTAGATTCGTTATGTTGTTACATTAAAAAACGATCTTAGTAGAAATACAGTATTGGAATAATGGGATATTATTTACTCACATTTCAAATTCATTGCCAATTGCACATGGGGGCTGCAGGCTTTGATTACTAGTCCTATAGTCTTCTTACTATATGTACACGATATAATGTCGTCGAACAGAAACGGAAGAACAGTTCTGTATGTTGATGATACGAATATTTTTTGCAATGAAGAGTTGTTGCAATAAAAAGTTGTGTATATTTCGCAAATGTCCATTTCCCCCTGAGGTATGAGATATGGCTTAATTTCTTGAGAAACGCATCCTATAGCTCCCGATCATGTAGATTTCAGAAAAGAATTGTACAAAATATAATAAGCAAATCCCGCGAATGTCGTGTAACCTTATCTTTATTCTTT